CCGACTGGACGAGTGGAAGCACTGGTGCTGACCGGGCCCGTTCGAGCACCGGGGGAGCTTGATAAGCGTCGTGCCACAGCATCGGCAGCGCTCAAACGCACTCACAGATAGTGGGGGGAAGCGATATACGAGAGAGATCTAGGCCAACAACAGCGCGAGGCTAGGGTTCGCAGATACAGGAAAGTCCGGTTGGGAGAACCTGCCCGAAGGGTTAAAACTTATGACTCTTTTGTTCCCAATGGAGTTTTACTCGCCTTGAGCTAACTTATTTGTACTGTACAATTAAAAGGCGAATGTAACAATCCAGAATATCTAATCAGATCTTTGCACTCTGTTCTTCCTTCTGCTTTATCCCCCCCCATCCCGGTTACCCCAAGGCTAGTTAGTTGTGTAAGGCCACCCACACCGCAAGGCACGGAAACCCATATTGGATGCTGCATGTTCCGAGTGCTGGGGAAACGACAGCATTGCACCAGAGGGTTGGATGGGGAATGGCGCCGGTCCTGGGGGGTGCCTGCTGCAAGAGAAGGGGCACTGGGATCATAGTAAATGGGATTTCTGAGCAGTGCGCCAGGCATCAGGGGGTACTAGGGGCGCCGAGTGCAGAGCCAGATGACTCCGGGAAGTGGCAACGTGGCTGCCCTTAGCTCTGCTAGGAAGGAAGAGACACCTGCTAAGATATCCACAGAGCGGCTGGGGGGGCGGCAATAGCAAGTCTGAGTTTGTTAGACACTTGTTTTCCCTTTCTCCAGAGCGAATCTATTATATCAAGGGGATGGGAAAGGTAGCGGTTTACGCAATGTCAGGGAAGCGCTATCCTGTCCCGTTCTCACTAACCTGGGCCAACTCTGCTGTTGTTTTGCCTCTGCTTCCGTGAGTTGAACATACGTTTGTTAAAAGGACGCCTTGCGGAACATGCCAAGGACCCGCCTTGGGCAGACTGAGGGCCCTAATATCGCTTCTCGCCCTTGTATTATGCTTCCTCGCTTAATACCGTCCGGTTCTTATCCATCTGTTATCCCTTCGTTCATAAGCCGGATTTCACGGAATTTTAGCTCGAGAGCTAGTGGAATACTAGGCTCGGGGGGAGGTACGGTATAGCTAAGGTCTTCTGACCGTCAGCCTGCCAAAAAAAACGCTTCTGACTCGGGGAATCTTCTAGAGGTTTGCTCGGATCAGGTGGTATTAGTACCATTCCAGGTGAAAGGTGGGCCGGACCGCGGCTCCTCCAATACAAACGAAGGGATAACATCGCCTGCAGGACTTGAAGCAAATCCAAGTTACAAAAAGTGCCCACTCACAATCACCCAGAATAGAACTACCTAATAAGAAGCTCGTGAGTAAATCCGGCGAACCGTGCCCCAATCCCTCCACAATTTCCCACCCCAAGCTTAAACGAGAGCAGCTCCATGCTAGATCAAGCTATCAAAGAAAGCAGAAAAATCTCCAACCCAGGGCTGCGGAAGCGGGCCCTTCCCGGTGCCCCGTTCACGAAACATGGCCTGTAGCCCCCACGCCGAGTGTAGTACGGCACGGTACCACGTTACAAAATGCCCTTCTTCACCGGTCTCACAAGCATTGTGTCACACTGTGTCACCGGTACAGGTACCCGACCGCCTCGAGGGATATCGGGCACTACCGGTACGGGACCCACCATCCCCACTGTGCGAAAGTCGGACACGATGTCCCAATGGAGATCACGACGAAGATAATCCCCGCTTGCCGCCCTCTTCTATCATATTGCGGTCTTGTCGGTACGGTGTCACAGTACGCTCTCCGGCTGGCCAATCGAGTAACCGGCTCAGCGCTGTTGTTACGGAACCCCTTAATAATGAATCTCTTAGCGCTGCTAAAAACTAAAACTGCAGGTACCTGTACTGTAATATACTATTATTATTTTTCTCGCATCTTTGAGACTGCTGTAGTGGGTGTTTCTCTAGAGTGTGGGGTCACGCCGGCCACGACGGACATGCATACGGAGTTCCGTTTACTGAAGATGTGCGGTACTCGAGTGCTCGTACAACCTCCCATTAACTTGGCTGCCTCAAGAGTAGTAACGATATATCCCGAACGCTTAGGGCTAAAGGGTATTTTAAGTTGGCATAAATAACCGAAGATAGCTTTCAACTGATATCTACCTGATACAGAATAACTATAAAAAAAAGTAACCGTGACAAGTGCTATCCGGCAGGTTAAAGGCCACTCTGTACGTTCCAATGAAATTACTTCACATATTGTATGTTTAGCCCGACAAAATGCTCAAGCTATCACTCGCAGAAGGATCAAAAACCTGTCCTACCTGTTCCCTCTTCAAGCAATTTCCAAGGTTCCAATACAGCTAGGTAGAGAAGACTATGGTACTCCTGTTTCACAATAGTTGTGATAATACTAACTTTCTGCCATGAGTTGTAAATGGTGGTATTACACTACTCGAGTAGAGAAATATTGATTATTTAAAGTATCACCCCTTATATACCGGTACTGCTAGTGGTACCTACCTACCTACCTACATTAGATTCATCGAGATTTGAATTTCTTGAACAAAAATAATCTATATGCTATCATAACAAAAAAAGGGGGGGAAAAACTGAACCCTGGACTACATTATCATTACAAGTACTCTACACTGCAGTGATACAGTATTGTGGGAGTGTGGTTGCTAGTGATAAGGTACAGTGCAGTGCAGTGCAGTACAGTTCCGGTACCACGGCAGTCAGCGGCAACGGCACAAACGTAGAAAATGATTCCTTATCTTCCTCCCTTCTGAGAATACTGTGCAGTGCAGTACGTTCCCTTGGCTTTTGTCCCCCCCCCCCTCCCTCTTCCTCCCTCTCTGGACAATTACAACCAAAAACTTCCTGGCAACCCTATTCCATAAGAATCTGTATTTTATCTCCCCTTTTTTTCTTTTTTTCAAAAAAAAGAAAGAAAAACGGTTACTAGTGCATACCCCGCCCGACAATCCGATTTTTGACAGTGCAGAAACTCACTTGGCAATCGTACGAAATGGGGAGGAACGAGTTAGCTCGGAGCGGTACAAACCCCTTGAGAAAGGAAAGGAAAGAGCGAACTGAGAACGTGGCACTTAGGTCACGGGTGGGATCGCAAAAGTTAATAACACGAGCCCCTCTTCCGCATGATGTGCAACAAACACCCAGTGTCGAAACGGGAGGTTTGCGAAATATATATACAGCAGGGATGGATGTGTCGGTCGAGGTATATCCGGAGTAGTCGCATATAGGCGGAGCATTGCAAAGTTATTCTTCCAGAGATCGGTGTGAATGTTTGAGAATGGAGATCGGTCGGTGGGCACGGCAGGAGTGTGAGAGGGAGAGGACTAAGAGCTATTCCGAAGCGTCAAAGCGACAATATATAGAACCCTCCAAAACGGCGCGCGCAGGCCCCTCTCTTGTCCATGGTAGACCGTTCATTTCGGGTTGCTTGTCCTAGCAAGGTCTGTTATATATATCTCTTCCCATTTGTCCTAGGTTCAGTTTTCTCCACGATGATTGCCCCCCCCTTTATCCAAAGGGGTGATTCTGAACGTGTTAGCGCGGGCTTTAATTACCCCAGTCACTGCGGCACTCGAGTACCAACTTCCCAGCGATGACGGTGGTATGATAGTCGCTTACTATATATTAGCTGAAACGCCGACACATGGGCTGTCCGGAGCTAAGTGTACGGGGTTCCCAAGTTAAGGGTAACAGCGCCCACAGAAAAGTGCATCAAGCAATGGCTGATATCGAACCTTACAACCCACCGACAGGTGTAAATGCCAAAATGAACCATAATGCACCGCAGCGACGGCAATAATATTATTATGAAAATCCACGACATTTTAACCACAGGACATTCTAACAAACGACAAGCCCCACAGAAGCAAAAAACAGAATAATCATGAAAACCTAGGATGCATGTGCACCCCGGAGGGATAGCTATGTACATTGCTTTCGCCATCCTAAGCGCCCGGAAAAACCTCTTTCCTCTGAGACATCTGCACCTCACCGACAGCAGCTCCCCTAAACTGAGGTAGCGCAGAGGTGCTCGATGCCTCGGCACGTGTTTCCCTTTGCCTGTTGACATGCTGTCCCACAATGTTAGCCCCCGGGCCCCATAGAAATTGCGAAAAGCAAGCGCTACCTTATACTTGATAACTTCATTCCCGAATTCGTCCTCGGTGCGCTCAACCTCGAGAGTAAACCCGAACTTGGGCCATATCTTCGCGAACCCAACCCAATAGATTAGTCCTGACGCAAGGACGCAGCAGCCCACGGTTGGGAAAACGTAGTATGGAATTGATCCGGTCAAAAGCGATCCATCCCCATATTCGTTTGGTATGAATGGAGCAATTAGTAAGAAGAGGCAAGCAAGGCAGAACATGAGTGTGAAAGGCCACCAGACATGATAGTCCGTTCGTTCCACCGCCCAAACCTCCGACTGCGAAGGCGAATGCTGAAGATAAAGGAGTCCACCTCCAATGAACACTGCGCCCGCTCTCATCAGAACCTTGGTCAAACATACAGGGACGAAGGGGAAATACAAGACACCCAAGTCTGAGAAGAAGTGAAAACCCAGATGAAGAAATTGTACGCGTCCTCAGAGCTCGGCGCAGATATAATAATGACGGAAAACACCCAGTGAAGCAGCAACGCTGCAGCAGGGGTACCAAAAGGCTTGTCACTAGCCCAGAAACGAGACCAGGGAAGCACACCCTCCTTGCCGAGCTCCTGCTTGACTACACGAAGGAATCAGTACCCCGCCGAAATATCGCTACCAAAGGTACTCACCGCGGGAATTGGCAAACGTAACCGCAAGCACATTCCCAAAGGCCGATGCAGCAATGCATAATGGCACAATTGTAGTCGCAAAAGCACTTCCCCCAAAAACCTTTCCGAAAGGTTAGGCTCCGAGCACTCGCACTTCGGCGATGAACACCACTCACATCTAAAAAGAAATCTGCTGCAACAGTAACTCCTCCCTTCTGAATGATATCCTTCGGAAGTGCTGCAAACTGTTGACAGCATCTGTCAGTAAACTACCGTGGCCAGTAAAGACATTTGAGAAGACAAACATAGGCAATGTTGGCCAAGATGTAAAGGGCAGCTACACCAAGTATAGCGATTGGGGCTGATACCCGTAAGGTTTTCGCTGGATTGCGAACCTCACCGAGAACCTAGAGCTCGTGGTTAGTACACGCAGCCACCCTCCCCCGTGGATATCATACGTAATTCGCATTTTCCCATCCTCTATTATGTGCCCGGTTGTTAGGCCATGAATCTCCGTGATTGGGGGCTGTGGCTCAACATACCGATAACTAAAGTGCGAAAAGAAACCAGTCATTAGCTTGCCATAAGTCATAAATAACGTCCATTGGTGATGCCGCAAGCGTTACCTATAGTTCACCTACCAAACCGCAGAGTTAGCACGCCCCGACTCCCCCGCAAAAGCTTCGAGTGGTAGAACTCACTGCCAACAATGCTGCCGCCCAGCTTCCGGGCGCCTCAGTCGAGCCATCTCTTCTCCAGGCTCCATCGCCGTAAAAGTTTTCGCTCTGTGGGTTATTGAGTCCTTTTCCCGCAAAAGCTGCTATGCCCGTGAAGACGACCAACACAAGGAGTAATATCTTCAGCGCGGCAAATGCTGTCATCAGATACTTTCCGCCAAACTTGGGCCAGTAAAGGTGAATCAAGCAATTCAGCGTTATAACCCCAACTGCAAGCCCTTTCGAGAGCCCATCGGGCGGGGGGGCGGGAACCGTTGCCCCGGGCTGGATCTGGATATTAACGGAGTACCGAGTCGGATTGATGGCACGAAGAAAGTGGGCAGCACAAGTAACAGCATTTCCCGCCGTGTTTCCAAGCAGAATAAACTGTATCGCGTATACACAGGTGGCGATGTACTTGGGTTTCCGGTAGATTCGCTCGAGCTACGATGGAGTAGTGGTGCCATGTTAGCAGCGCATAAAGGGAAGCAGTTCAGACTTGATAAGGGGGGAAATAGGGGGAGCAATTGGAGGTGGAGATAATTACGTAGACTTTTTCACCCCCTGAACGAGGTAAAGCCGTTCCTGGAGGCACAGTCGTCAGTACAAATGCTACCGGTGAACCCGCAAGTCACGCACCGAGCTCTAGGAAAACGGCCATTCTGGACACGGTCGGTCGAGGTCAGCTAAACCCAATGCTCCGCAGTCGGCGGCGAGCTACTCACCCACAATACGCAAAAAAGGCGCCGGCGCACCACAGCAGCAAAGTCCCCGCAGGAGTACCAGTAGCGCGAAGAACTGTCGAAGGAGTAGAAAAAATTCCCGTGCCAATCATACGGTTGCAAATCAATGCTACGAGGAACGTCAGAAGTTGAGCGCGAGCGAGCCAGCTCAAGAGTTCTCACCAGCGGTCGACCAATAACCCAGTTTGCGGTCTGTATTCCCACGGTTAGCCTTTGCCTCCAGGGCCCCGCCACCAACGCGGCATCGCGTCCATTGTATGCGTACCTTCGGGTATCACGAAGGTCTGGGTATCGTAAACCGTAGGGTCATCGGGCCGACCATTCGCAGCACCAACGGCGGCGCCGACAGCGGGGAACTCTCTCTCAAAATCTCCGAAAATTTGGCCGCGGGGGGGAGCATGGTTTGACCCGCCATCGCCATCATCAGCAGAAGAAAACTCCACACTGTCGCCTCCTCCGGGTTCGAGGTGTCCGGGCATGTCCGATTAACGGGGCAGTTGGACCCACGGACTATGGCTATGTCAGTCGCAAGTGCCTGATGTACCAGCACAGCACAGGCGCGGCCACTAGGAAGAGGAGCGAGCGAGGCGATGCGGGATAGTGATTATCCTGTTAGCGTATGGTACCGATACTGTACTCGTATCGTGCAATCTGTCGGAAGGTGTGAAGGGAAGAGTTCCCCGGGAGCCTGAACGCTATTCACCCCCAGGCTTGGTTGGATTATATTGATTCCCCCCGCCAATAGCCATGACAAAATACCGAGCCGGCACTACAGCCCAGTATTTTCCACCCTGGAGTTGATTTTCCCGCTTCGCCCCAATGCGCCCTGAAACGAGCAGACTATGTGTAACACCAATGACCTGCGCTCTGCAGGTGTGCTGGTACTCGAGTACAGTACTCTGCAGGTCAAGTTCCTTCTTTTTTTTTTTTCCTTTTCCCCTTTTTTCTTCTTTCTCTTTCTCTTTCCCTCACATTTCGCGCACAATACCCATGCTTTCTAGTCAGGGATGGAGGAGAAGGGATGTGCCCCTACCCGTACTCCAGCACTCGAGTGCCGGAGAGGCCCCAGGGGTTCTTGAGTACAATGTTATTGATTTAACCGCGCTTGATCACATCTGGTAGCAAAGGATATGCGCTAATCCCGAAGCGGGGTGATCTAGATACTGGTGATGGTGCTTGCTCAAGTGCTGGGTGCCCGTAGGAGCACGGGTGCAGAGCCGTATGACATGGGCTGAAAGTCAGCGCAAGCCAGAAAATCAAGAGAGCCTCCAGGAGTAACAAAAACAAAATACAAGACATCCAAGCTGGCTCGATTTTCAATTGCTATTACCCTACCATATCACTTGGGGTAGCAATCGTGCTGCTTCGCCCGAAAGATCTATCATATTATTATGGAAAAGCTAAGAGCCAACGATATTGGCAAGTATCCTTCCTTGATCGGGAATAAATTACCAGAATTTTAAACCGAGACCCACCGTATTCCGGCAATTTCTTGGGAACACTAGCAGACTAAGGCTTTCAAGCACCTGTCCTACTAATAGTGCTACTCGAGCGGCACTCCTGATGAGAAAAACCCTAACAACCGGGATCCCTCCCCCCCCCCAAAAAAGAAACTCTGGCAGGTCCGGATACCGATGGAATGAGCGAATTTGCCAAAAATCCAAAGCTATTGATTCGTCTGCAGAGCCTAATGCTCGAGAACATTTCTCCCAAACTTCCCAAGGTATTTTGGGACGCGATGGGCTCCGTCGTTAAAGTCGCTTCTTTTCTTTGGTTGCCTTTTGATTGCATCGTGCTCAGGTGTCCGGGCCTTTAACCACACCAGGAGCATACTTGAGCATGGCGGCGGCCGAACACACACAGCGCAGATACCTGAACCAATATAACAAGCTGTTAGCCGCCACTGCACTGTATCATATGTGAGTTCTCGAGCGCCCTACCGTACTCGCGAGCACTATCTGTCGTGCTACAGTCAAGATATTCAAATTTGACACTTTCCTTCAGCCTAAGAGCACCACAGCGGCTCCACCTCCGTTCCAGACAAGCAGAAGGAACGAAAACGGGGGGGGGTTAGGCCCTCCCGCCCCGTCACACTCACGCCAAGAATCAAGCGACATTTGCTGGGTTGGAGGGAGGACAGGGCGGATTTCACTGCGTCAGGCACTTGTACTAGTACTCGTACGGTATGGTACTCTCGTACCTCTCATACAGCACTCTCCGCATGTCTCGATGCTCGTCCACACAGTCCCGGCCCCCTCCCACACGCCCAAGCCCAATCAATCCAGATACCAGTACCGTACTAGTACCTGCGGTTGGCCGTTGTTTACAGTAGAGCGTCATAGCCTACGGTACCACTCATTAGTCACCCTTCCATTTTCTCCATAGCGCTTCAGCACTCCTACCAGTACAGTACACTACAGGCGGACAGAAGCGCTGTGACGAGCAATTCCGCCTCCCCCCCCTTCTTCCCTCTCTACTCGTACTGTACTCCATCCCCTCTTCCCTCCCCTCCAATCACATATCGCTCCCCGCTCCCCCAGCAAAGCCGGCTCCCACTCTTATCCCGCTCCCTTTCCCGCTCGCTACCATTTGTGAAAGTTTAAAGCTTTCTCTTGCCCCTTCTCGCTCTCGTCGTTCATGTCCACGCTCACCCCGCTTACGAATAGGATCAGCCGAAGGGACACCGAATAAGGTAAGGTCCGTGCGGCGAGTGAACACATGCAAGCAAGCTCTGCTCCTTACCATCCACTCCTAGCCCCGGTCCCGGAGCGTCCGACCTTACAGCAACCTCACCGATCCTGCTCGAGCATCCATCTACAAGTACCATTCTCCTCTATCATTGGATTCTTCTCTCGCCCGGAAAAAAGAGAGAAGGGGGGAGGCAATCGTTCATAATCTTTAGCAGGCCCGCGGGGCCTCGCTTTCCCCCTTCCGACTGTCTCCCCTTTCAAGGATACCGGCTCAGTCGAGCGGTAGCGATAAGGTACGCTGCTTGCTGAATTGCCCCACATCACCGCAGATCCGATCTTCGGCTCTGGAACACGTTTTCACCTCTGTTTACAAGCCTCCAATTCCCCACGCCCCTGATTCTCGGCTTCCCCGTTCAACCCCTCACTCTAATAAGAAAATCTCCCGATACCCCTTCCATATATCCAACCTTCAATCGTATTTCTCTTCTGAAACAAAGAGAGAGAGAAAAGAAACCGATCCTTCTGAATTCGATCGATTTCACTGTTAGCCATCGGTTAAACGCTATCAACGGATTTCATCCCGCTACATTAGCCCCGGCCGGTGGAAATACCGAGTGAGATCTCACCATGTCTGTAGGGTTCGGGTTCAGTATCGGGGACATCCTCGCCTGTGGGAAGTTCTGTCACCAAATCTACAAGGCATGTTTTTCTGAGGCCCACGACGCCTCGGTGGATTGGACAGCTCTAGGCAAGGAACTCCTCCTCCTGGGTGATGCCCTGCAAAGCCTTTGCTCAAATGAGGGGATTATACCACAAGATCCCTTCTGCGGCCCAGAAATGCAGGAAAAGGAACAGCGGGCGCTGGAAGCAGTCAGGATGGTGGTCGGTGACTTTCGGGAAACCTTAAAAGACCTAAGAGAGTTTCTCCTGAGATATGAGGATTTCCGGAAACCAGATGCTGGGAAACAGTATTGGTTGAAGATCAAGTTCAGCGTCAACTCTGGGGAAGTTGACAAGTTCAGGGCAAGGGTAGCTATGCATACTCGGGCGGTACATCTACTGCTCAACCCATTAATCTAGTGAGTATGCACATGCTGTTCGGTAGGCCAATACATGATTCGTACTATATGAAACTAACTTCCCCAGCCAATCTCAGAAAACGGTGGAGAATACCGTCACCAACATCCAAACTCGCATAGACACCATTGACCAAGTCCTGCAAGCTCTACTGGTAGTCGCCTCGGAACAGCTAACAACTGCTTCGTCTTCCCGCAACCACAGAAGGATTGCCGATCGGGTTCATACAAGACTCCAAAACGGTCACCCCCAACGCCTTATCACGGAGGCTCCCAGAAGCCCCCAAACAATAACGGCACTCCTAGCTACTAACAATAATAGGCCACGGGGAGGAGAGGAGATGCTAAGAACAAACAGTTTTCCTATTGGGAGAGACCGATATGAGGATACTATAGAAATGGGCCTTCGTCGGCCATCCACAGAGAGTAACATGGCGAACGCACACTCACCGACAGCGCTGCACTCCCCAAAAGGTAAAGGGAGGCTCCCCACGAATCGTAGTGGTGGCGAAAGAGGTGGTATCGAGTATTCGCCTACTCCAGCCTGGACCAATCCTCCGGAACACAGAATCCAGCGACAAACGTCGTCTTCAGGAGCGACCGAACTCTCCGATAACCCAATAAGCAGGGCGCTACGGCAATCGGCTATGAGCGAGAGTGCAATGAAAAGACCCATCGAGCATTGGATTACCGCCGCAATGCATTGGTATTTCAAGGTAGTTACCCTACGCGAGTCATCAACTATCATTCGCCTCACAAAAGTTAACTCAATATTGCATACTTTACTAGGCAGAGAGAGATCTTGAAGACCGCGACCACCAGGAGGTCTCCTTGGAGGCCTATTTAGGGCTGATGAAAAGCAGCTGGATCGTGGAGAATGTCATCAATAGATGGGAGGCCGAGGATGGCCTACCTGAAGAGGTAAAAAGAAACATAAAAACTCTCGTTGCTGTGAGTAATGCAACCCCGTGTGCCAGTATTGCTATATCGCATCTAACAATGAACAGTCGATTGTAAGCCAATTCCGAAAAATTAAAAACCGGGAGATGCCCGACATCAGAAGCATCGACCCACAAGATTACGAAATATGGCATAAAGATATCGTCCTCATTCTCGTGAAGCCCGCCTCGCCCCTTTCTTCCCGTGCCTCCTCAAGAGAGAGCACATTCAGTTATGGGGCCTACTACGACGACCCTACACCTAGAAGGCCTTCAGAAGCGTCAAGCAACTATACCCACGCGACGGCTCCATCGGTCCTCGATTCACCGCCGGACCAGGGTGCGGGGGGATTCCGTCACCCAGGATACCCAGTTTCTCCCGGTGGACATCCTGCTTCATATGACTACGAAGAATGGGGTGACCCCACAGCCACCAATGCTTCCGCCCTCAGTGACGATAGTGAGTCCAGCCCAATCTATGACCATTTCCCTGGATCTGTGGTCAGCAGGTCTTCCCCCAGCCTTCCAGGCAGTAGTGGAGCTTCAAGTTTGCCGTCATCCGATAGTGGGCAGAATTTGCCGAATCCAAGACAGTACGACACAACCGAGTCCACGCTCACCAACGGCCGTTCCCCAAGTATCTCGACCACGTCCACTGGGTCATTAGGCCGAAGAGAGAGTTTCAGCTCCCAGTACCCGACTTCAGCCCCCCCTGTACAAGCCCCGGGGAAATCAACAGTAAAGAGGAAGCCAGTCCCCGCCGTCCCTATATCCCAGCCTCCCGAGGATGATCCAGACAAGTATGAAGGGCTCGGTGAGCGCACTATTCTCGATACGATGTAGGTGGTTTCCATCCTCCATGCGCTGGGAAAGAACTAACCTGTGAATTGATCCAGTGAGATTATGTGGGCTTCACAGGTTTCTGGACCTTTCCAAAAAGGCTACGTCAAGATCTTTTGGCACCAGTCCACCAAGTTTTTCCGGATATACACCAAATACAGTCCCCGCCGCGCTCATTCGCAAGAGGGTAGGTTTATTAGCCCCTTATTAGAATGCGCAGCTAAATCGCAGAACAGTATCCCTAAGGGGCACTGAACTGATCCCGGAATACGCCTATGAGGACGAGCCTACCATCTACCTGCGGAGAACCACCAGACCGTCGGGCACTAGCAATAGCTCAACTACAAACCCCACCGCAGGAGGCGACACCACCCGGATAGGCCATGTATATAAATTCCTTACAGCGAGATGTAAGGCCCCTTTAATTGCGTTCCTCATAGCTTCAAGTGCACTCCTCGGCTAATATGCAGTATCTAGCCATGTTTGACTTCCAGAGAGCTCTCACAAGCGAGGATGTTTACCAAGATCTGTAAGCTCCTCTCTCTTCTCTCCCCGACCTCCTCTCCTCGTTCTGGGAATCAGGACTAACAAGAAACACGATCTCAGGGTGAAGCGCGTTGCTTCGGTAAAGTTAAAGCCGAGCTCTGGGAATGGTACCCACTATTATCACACCGCCCGCCTACAACTCTGGCACGAAAAGCCGCCAACCGACGCACTTGTCACAGATGCGGCCTCTGGGATGACCGGAGTCTCCCAAGCCACTCGTGCGAAGCTTGTTCTCTCGTGCTCCCGTCTAATGATATATTTCGGGGGCTCGGGTTGTTTTCTTACTTGCTTTCGTCCGTAACCCCCCACCACACTGCTCTCCGGTGGGACCCGCTAACATTTCAAAATAGTAACCGACGACATTACACTCAAACGCGACGGTCAGAAACTGATGTTGGTGCCAACAAAATACAAGGGCAGTCTGATGAAATCGCCTAAAACGGTCAAGGCAGCCATCCGTGGCAGCGAAAGCAGCAAAGGCGGGTTTAGGCTAGACAAGGAAAAGATCTCACCCGACGATGAACATAGTTTTGAAGACTTCTCCTATATTCACATCAACTTTAAAGATACCGAGCGTAAGCTATTCTATGATGGATTGTCGGATCAGCATGCTGACTGTACTGCTATAGATTTGAGTAAGTTTCAAAAGCTCTGGAACGAGATGATGGTTATGAGGCGTATGGAGCGAAAGCGGATTTCCAGTCTAAAAGACCAACTTCAAGCGGCGACTCGGGCCCCGCTTGCCGTCTCTTGACGTGTTTGACGTGTTTGACGTGTTTGACGTGTTCTACAATTTTCCTTCTACTCTTTGTTCCCATAATGTTAATATGTATCTCATGTATTTTTTTTTCTTTCCCTTCTCAAATTTTTGCATCTTGGGCAAAACGGCGCAGGTGCACGGCAGGAAACGGTCTGGATAGCAATTAATGTCGGGGTAGATTTCTTTTTCACATCGGAGTAGCCTGAGATGCGGGAATAGATGTGGCGGTACTGTACAGTCCAAGCTAAGCCTTTATTTCGCTATGATGGCGCAAGCTCCTCAACGGGTGGGTGAATGAATGAATGAATGGGCAAACGAGAGAGTGTGTGAGAGAGTGTGAGAGAGAGGGGAGGAGGAGAGAAGGAAAAGAAGAAAGAAAAAAAAAGCGAGTTGTCGTACATGTACACACACACACCATAAGTACGAGTACTGGTATGATACTAGTACAAGTACTTGCGCCCACAAAACGCCTAACCAGAAATAAAATAGAATAAAAATAAAAAAGAAACTCCAAGACACATTACCGGTTTATGGAGGGCTGCAGGAACAAGAATCTCATCACTGATTCACAAACCAGGTGGAAAAAAGTAAATCCGGGCTTACGTCACGTCAGTCTCTGAAAAGTGGGGCCTCGGGGAACAATTTTCCTCCGACCATTGGGGGGGGTGTGGGGTGTGGGGAAGCGAGAGATGGAATTTACAGTCTTTCATGCCGGAGTACTCGTATGTTTCGCATATCCATTCGATCGGGTAGAAGAATAGGGGGTGGGGTCGCTAGGTAGGAGGATTCAGTACAAGTAGAGTACGACCAGGGGGGGTGGAAGCACCCACGGTAGAGTCCGAGTGGTAAACACTAGCAAGGTAGGATACGTATCATCGCCACCGATGGTACCGTACCGGTAGTGGGGTGGTGGTGGAGGGGAACGGGTATCCCATGATATTTTTGGTCTATCCATGAGAGGGAGAGAAATCGTGAAGGGTGTGGGGTATTTTGGGGGGGCAAGTGCCGTTACCATAAGTACCATAACCACCACAGTTGACGATGAGGACAGAGTGAGTCTCTCATCTCTCAGAGGAGCGGGGCAGGGCAGGGCAGGGCAAGGCAGGGCAAATGGATTTGATCGTAATTGTGATGGGATGGGATGGGATGCATCATACCTTCAGCGCTATGATGTTTGCTTCCTTTCCCCCCTCCCCCCTTTTCCATCATATCATACCATTGTTATTATTATCACGGTTTAACAAGCCCTCGGTGATTTACTACTGCTTTCGTCCGGTATTCGTTATCATGGTTACTATTATGGTAGTATGCCGGGCTGGGTTGGATGGCCGAACAGACCCGTTCACGGCTATCACTCGATCTTCTAAAATGGGATCCTTTTTTTACACTTTGGTGCCGTAGTTTGTTAGTTTGTTAGCTAGGTTTGTGCTCGGCGGTTAACTTTCCGTACGAGTACTGTACCGTACTAACACGAGCAAAGCAAGCAAACAAACCAGTTCAGTTATCATACCGCTTTTGTGTCCATCTTCTGTGGAGTGCAGTGAGGCAATGAACGACAGGATGGATCGCTCTGACCGTTTCGTATCATATCATACCGCCCTCGGTACTTTGAACCTTTCCTGCCGAGGCTCGCTTGTAAATTTACAGTAGCTGTAGGGCACGGTTGACTTACCATCTAGAATAGATGCGCCCAAAACTTGGAACCTGACCATTTTGCCATTTACGGTGTTTTTTTTTGGGGGGGGGGGAGGGTACCGTACTGCAGCGATGAGTACCGTATCGTATGATACCGGTCCGTTATGGTAGTCTAGGCTGTCTATCTTACCATAACTTATTTGTGCCTGTTTTGCCTACCCACCTACCGTGTGAACTCGTACCTGTTTTTGCTCACAGTACAATACCAGCCTTGTCTGTCTTGTCTGTCTTGTCTGTCTTGTCTGTCTTGTCTGTCTTGTCTGTCTTGTCTGTCTTGTCTGTCTTGTCTGTCTCGTCTGTCGGTTGCCGAGGTTGGTTCCCTTATGATTCGTAACTAGCCTAGCTCGTTACCATGCCGCAAGTCCCGGTTCCCAGACAACGCAACGGAAGAAGAACGGGCGGAATTGCCAAGATGTGATTCGACCATATACGAGTACTGTATAATACCGGTAGCGTAACGTGATGGTAACTGGTACCAGTACCGTACCGTAGAATCCACATTGTAGAGTGCTAATTAGTACCAATTGGTACTCGTACTATTCTGGTTCCTGGTACTGGTTGGTACAAAGGGAGGGGAAAAATCCGGTTTCATCTTCTTCCCACTTTTCCTTTTTACTTCTTTTTAGAAGAAAAAAAAAAAAAAAGAAGAAAAAGTCCCATGATTGCTTTTATCATCTTTTTACTTTTTTTCCCCCCTCCCCCCATGACGTTTTCCAATTGGTTCAGTTCTTTTTTTTTTTTCCCACTCTTTCACTTGTCTTCACTTTTTTTCAACTCGTGCATATGTTTTATTCTATCGTGCCGAGGTAAAAACTACCATAAGGCCCTCCTTTCCCTTTTCTTTGCTTTTTCCCCCTTTGCTCGGTCGGTCGGTCGCTCGCTCGCCCCCCCGGACCGGGATCTGGTGAGGAGGAGAAGAGTGCTGTATGATATGATATGATATGATACCGCATCACGGCGAGTCCATAGGGCACGGATACTGTAGTCCACGGTCTGTTATTGGACATCTGTACTAGTACTGTATGATACCCACCCCACCCCCTTTTTTACGGTCAAGTAAGTAGGCAAGTAAGGCCCTGTCCTGTCCTGTCGTCTCGTCCTGTCCGTCTGCTGTTTTGCGCGCCGTGATATAAATATCATAATATGCCTTTTTTCTTCCTTTTTCCTTCCTCCAAATTTCGCTCCTTGCCAACTCTATTTTTGAAACGAAAAAGAGTGGACTGGTGGGTACAGTGCAGTGCGAGTACGCCTTGCCCATGGTGCTCGAGCGCTGAACTTGCGAGGGCGAGTAATTAGTGGGGTCGCGCTTTGCCTGCTCGCTCTCTCGCCCAGCTACCGGTGGTGCAGTTGGAAAGTGCAATGTTTAATGAGATGCAAGCACTGTAGGATATTCGAGCACGGTAGCACAGTACGCGGTGGGTACTGTACAGTACTTGTATCATACTCTGCTGAGCTGCGATGCGCTGCGCTGTGCTGTGCTGTGCTGTGCTGTGCTGTACTAAATCTGGATGGGTGGACTCCACTCCACTCCACTCCACTCCACCCCACCCCACCTCACGACCTCAAGGCCCAGGTACAGTACCGAACCGTAAATAGGGAGGATCAATGAATAAATAAAAATAAACCATCACACATCACGTTCTCGTCCCAAATTTACCACGACAGCGTGGAAGAGCGACGGGCGCGGTGGAGCGAGTAAGCCGGCGCCATCGCTATCCATCTATATACAGCACCCACGAGTTGCCCGTTTCGTTTCGAGCCAAGCCCCAGCCTGCCAAGCGGCGAGATGTACCGCACAGTACCGGTAGACTACCGTATCACTGTCATTTTCTGAACAGGGGAAAAGGGGGGGATGGTGTAGGGTACAGTACTCGACTCGTACAGTATGGTACAAGTAATAACTTACCGTCTCGTCGGGTGCGAAGGGGGGTGCTTACGCAGATCATTCCTTGGGCCTGGACTCTTCGAGTGTGTGTGTGTGGAGGGGGTCAAGTTAATGTCATTGCGTCATGTTCGCTGTTGGTTAGCCAGTCGACGCGGCACTGTACCCTAATCTACTGTGCGATTGCTCGAGCAGAGGATCGCACAACTCTGCACGGTCGCCAGCCGCAACGGGGGAGCTTTTGTCGGGCGTGATCCTGTCCGTGGATACTGTACCTGTACAGTACGAGTCATGGCACTCCCCCGATGCCGGTTGATCCTGCCTGCTCCGAAGTAGAGGCGCAGGGCCTTCGGCGGGGGGGACACTGCAAAGAGCGGCGGATCAGGAGCAGGGGTCTGTAACAGGTATTCATGCCAGTACGGTACCCCATCATATGATCCCTTTCGCTTGCTACCCTACTTTGGCGAATCGAATTTCTGCCTGCGAGAAAGGTACTCGAGCGCTTTAGTGCAGTAACCTGCCGGACCCTTGTTCATCCGCCGCCGCTTTTCGTCCTGCTCTACCCACCCACTCGTCTTCCGGCAAACTTTTTCTCTTTTCTTTTTCTTCCGCTCCGATTCTCCCCGGTTCCCCGAGACTCACTGTGTACTGCGGTGCCCGAGTGCGACACCGCATTCCTTGATTTCTCGGTTGCCGAGCATGATACACAGTTATGATGGGACAGTACAGTGCTCGTACTCGTACTCGAGTATTATACTCGATGGGAGGTGAGGTGAGGCGGATAGACGGTAAATCTAGTCCGGTCTAGCCCTACGACGGGACCCTCCACCCTGACGCTTGACCACTAGTAGCGACTCGGAGAGCAGATATCATCATGGAGGGCGGAGATGCAGGTACGCTTCGGGCGACGATCTGGGCGACGGTTGGGGTCTAGCCCCGTTGGAGCTGAAGCCCTGTTGCAACCGGGGTAGACTAGATGTCAAAGCCACCCACCACTTGCTCTTCCTCTTCCTCTCGGACCACCGCACGACAGGTACAGACGACAGGTACAGTACTACTGAAGGGGAGGGTCACTTTTTCCTTTCTTTTTTTCTTTTTCGACTCGCAAGCTGCCATGGTTAGGCATCCTTGTGGGTCCTATCGAACGTCATGCGCTTCCGTCAACCTCTGCGTGAGATTTGACCGGGCTGGATGGTGCATGGCAGTTGTGGTGATTTAAGGGTGTTGAATCAAGGAAGGTGATGAGGTTCGCTTATTGCCCGGGCATGTTGGTGTAGCGCTGGTTGGTCCCCGTGATGTTGAGGACCATCGCGGGGCCTGACGGATGGCGGGCAGTGCTGTTGGAGAATAGCACCTTTCAAGAGGTCTCTGCCCGATCTCTTTTTCCTTTCTTTTCCCTCGTTCCCCCTTCTCCTCC